GGAGCCGCTGCCCGACGCCCACCCAGGGAGCTGGGCGTCGCCCAGGCAGTGCGGCATGCGGTGCAACGGCGGCACTGTCGGCTGCTCCCGTGCCGAGCTGGGCCGTGCCGAGGCGGACGCGGTGAAGGAGCAGGAGAGCTGGCACGCCGCTGGCGTCAAGTCTTCCCCCGACGTGGTCGTAGAGAACGACCCAAGCCCTCGGTTCTCAAGGAGGCTGGCGGGTCTGCCAGCTAGCAGGACTCGTCGCCTGTTCCTGGAGGCTCATGGCCGTCCTCGTGCGCGAGACCGTGGAGCTCGACCTCGTGTTCCTATCTCTGGCTTGGGGCCCCCGCAGGAGGCCGAATGCCAGCAGCAGTGACGCGAGGTTGGGGCCGCTGCGGGCCCAACATGACAGTCGACATGTCTCGTGGGAGTTCGGTTTTGGACAAGGGTTTCTTGACATTTCGGGCCTCGGACTGTTGCAGTGTGGCTTGTGTATTGCTTTGCGGGTGTCGTATGTGGTTTCCTGGTACACCGCCTGGTCATCGAATGTGGCTTCCTGGCACAAGCATATAAAATGTGTGCGTTGCAGCAGCTGTTCGTGGGTCTTTGACAAAATGTGTCCGCACTGCTATGTTCCATGTTCGGGGGTAATGTTGGAGCAGCGTCGGGCCCAACCCAAGAATCGATGCCTTCTTTTGAAAGGAGGTAAGCTTCGAGTGTTTTATATGTCGTGCCGAGAATTGTTGTCGCAGCGTGCGTTTGCGCATGACTCGTCAACCGTTGAATGTGGCTTCCTGATATACTTCAGAGTTGTTGAATGTGGTTTCCTGGCACTAGAGCATATCTCATTCGTGCGTTGCTGCAGCATTTCGTCGCTCATGGTCAACTGTGTTCGTTATTGCGGCATTATTCCAAGAGTGCTGGCATCGACTTCCTCGGCTAGTGCGCTTCAAGGCAAGCATTTTCACACCATGATCCTCCTCACCCTCTCTTGTATCAGAATGCAGGAGCAGGCTCAATTCTGCCACAGCTTGCATTGCGTTTGTGAGGCGGGTGGGGGGCAGGAGCAGGGGTTGGGACGACGACGCGTGCCGAGGCCGCACTCCGAATCCAGCTCCTTGCGGCACGCCCCAGGGCAGAGGCTCAGGGCAGACCGCAGTCCAAGTTTTTGTCTTTTTTTTTGCTCCTAGAGTGGACTTGGGGCACATGGGTGCAACGGCGCAACAAAAGGAAGAGGAGGAGGAGGAGGAGGAAGAGGAGGAGGAGAAAGAACAGGAGGAGAGGAGCAGGAGCAGTTGGAGGAGGAGGACGAGGAGGAGGAGGAGGAGGAGTGAGGAGGAGGAGGAGGACGAGGAGGAGGAGGAGGAGGAGGAGAAAAAGGTATGGTGAGTCTGTGCCGCGCTGACGCGGCGGCGACCCCAGTACGGGCGCTCAAGGTAAGAGCCGCCAGTGGCTCAGCATCGCGCGCTGTCGAGCGATCTGCGCCGTCGGAGAGCCGCGACCGTGCAAGGCGGAACGATCCACACGGCGTCCGAAACCAACGCCCGCGACATCGCGACACAAGCCAACCATGTCGATACCGCTACCTTTCCCTCGTTCTCGCCTCTTGGGGCCTCCTGGAAGGGCTTCTCTCCAGCGCCGTTGGATTCGCCTCGAAGCTCTGGCCAGAGAGCACCCGGGGGAGAGGTCTGGCGAGCAGCGGTATTGGTACACATGGTAGATTTCTAATTCTTCGAGAGTCGTTTGATTTCTGGGGGGGCCAAGACCCATTCGTTTCTAATTGTTCTATCCTGGGTCGCTTCCCCCGGCCACCAGGGGCCAGGAACCAGTAGAAACGAGCACAATCAGAAATGAGCACGATGAGAATTGAACGACGTGTACCTTTTGGCCTCCCCCTTCGGAGGTCCGCGAGGGTTCCTCGGGTCGGCGCTGGGACCCTCCCCCCCCTTGCAGCGCCTCTGGCGCCGCCACTGGCGCTCGGATCGCTCGGATCGCGGCAGGGGAGGGGAGGTCCGGCGCCGCCCCGAGAAGGCCGCGCGGACTGCCAAAGGGTTGTGCCCATACCGGGGTTGAGCCTCGACCCGAGGAGGAGGAGGCGGGATCGCTGCGTCTTGGTAATGGAGGATGACGATTAATAAATGACCGGGGGTCGTGTTCACGCGGCGGCGCCCGGGATGACGATTAAAAAAAACCGGCCGCGGGCTGGAAAACTAGTTTTCGACTCGTTCTCCTCCAGCCAGAAAATTGTGCAGAAATAGCAGGAACCTATGTTTTAAACCGTTCTCTCCCATTTTTTTATGAATCGCCATCCCGCATTATGGTTGAGCGCTCCCCAGAACTCAGACGTCCAACGTTTCGAAAACAATCTAAGGCGGAGGCTGCTCGTCGTGCTCGGCCTCTGGCGGGCGGTTTCGGGCCACGGGGCAGCCACAGATCCGCTCTCGGCGGCGAGCGAAGGGGGAAAGTGAGGCGGAGAAGGCCCTCTGAGAAGGCGGGGCGGGGCTTCGCAGATGCCCTC